AGCAGTTCAAACTAGTGCTGAAGATCTGACCTCAGCTGTCATGCTTCCACCCACAGAGGAGATGTGCGCCAACAAAAAGGTTCCCTGCAAGTCCACCGAGTGCTGTGAGGACACCGACAGCGGCCCTATCTGCAAAGAACGTGAATGTTGAACGGACCAGATCTGCAAAGATGGTTGCACAACATCTATAGGTGTGGTGAGTGTTGAACGGACCATGCCTGCAAAAATGATGAGCATTGAGCGGACCATATCTGCAGAGATGGTGAATCTTAAGCAGGCCATATCTGCCAGATATGGTGAGTCTTGAGTGGACCATATCTGCAGAGATGGTGAGTCTTCAGTGGACCATATTTGCAGGGATGGTGAGTCTTCAGTGGACCGTATTTGCAGAGATGGCGAACCTTGAGTGGACCATACCTGCAGAGATGGTGAGTCTCAGTGGACCATATTTGCAGGATGGCGAGTCTTTGGTGGACCGTATTTGCAGAGATGGCGAACCTTGAGTGGACCATAACTGCAGAGATGGTGAGTCTTCAGTGGACCATATTTTGCAGAGATGGCGAACCTTGAGTGGACCATACCTGCAGAGATGGTGAGTCTTCAGTGGACCATATTTGCAGGGATGGCGAGTCTTGAGTGGACCGTATTTGCAGAGATGGCGAACCTTGAGTGGGACCATACCTGCAGAGATGGTGAGGTCTTCAGTGGACCATATTTGCAGGGATGGTGAGTCTTCAGTGGACCGTATTTGCAGAGATGGCGAACCTTGAGTGGACCATACCTGCAGAGATGGTGAGTCTTCAGTGGACCATATTTGCAGGGATGGCGAGTCTTTGGTGGACCGTATTTGCAGAGATGGCGAACCTTGAGTGGACCATAACTGCAGAGATGGTGAGTCTTCAGTGGACCATATTTGCAGAGATGGCGAACCTTGAGTGGACCATACCTGCAGAGATGGTGAGTCTTCAGTGGACCATATTTGCAGAGATGGCGAACCTTGAGTGGACCATACCTGCAGAGATGGTGAGTCTTCAGTGGACCATATTTGCAGGGATGGTGAGTCTTCAGTGGACCATATTTGCAGAGATGGCGAACCTTGAGTGGACCATACCTGCAGAGATGGTGAGTCTTCAGTGGACCGTATTTGCAGGGATGGTGAGTATTGAGTGGACCACCTGCCGATGAAGCTGAATTATCCGACCAATGTCTCCGCATTGAATGGGCAGCTGAAAGTCAACGTTTTTTTTTGTTGTTTTTTTTCTACGCCGTTACCCAAGAACAGGTAACCAGGAGTGCCCCTCCCTCAATCCCAGCGACGCAGTAAACCGTACGTTAACACCAGAAAACATAAAATCAAGTGCGGCACTCCCAGCTAGGAAGATGAAATAAACGTTAAAAAAAACAGGAAGAGGCGGAGCAGACCCGAAGGAATTGTGTTATGTGATAGGTAGGGAAAAATCATAGATGAAAAGGCTTAAAGCAGTCATTAGCCAAAGTCAGCTAATGACGGCCCGCTATAACCGCCCAATAATCTACAACCACTCAATTTACCGTGTTAGTAAGGCCTATGCAGTCACACAAGCCGGGGGGGGGGGGCAATTACCTGGTCATTTTTGTGCTGGGCTTTGAGCTGGATGTCCAGGGAGTCCACCCAGCTAAGCAGAGCTTGTTGCTGGGAGAACTCCCGGATCCAGCACCGTGAATTTGGGTATATGTGAATGACTTTGTATCAGAAATTGATTATGAAACATGAAGGAGGTCAAATATGAAGTGTGCTGGATATGTACAGCACAAGGATGGCAAAGTCTTCAAATATGTTGGTTACGTTAATATGTGTTCACGAAATGCTTGCGGATAAGGTTCTTAACGATGGTTTTTGATACAGGGATATCAGCTATTGGAAAAATATGAAAATATGGAACCATAATGTCGTTCCACAGCTTAGGGCCAAGGCAAGATGCTGTAAATAGTCTATAATTCCGATAAGAGAAAGGTTGGTCTAAATGTTTTGCCCGCCTCATATCCATGTCATTGGATTCGTAGAGATTGGATTCGTAGAGATTCGTATTCATAATAATGATGTGGATTTGAAGTGATTAGGGATAGCAGCCAGAGAGTGTGACTGAACGGTAATGGGCAGTAATCAGGCAAGTGGCGTAAGTGATCGGGCGAGGGTCAGGCAGCCAACCCACGGCCACACCAGTATGTCCCTCTATTCAGGAGAGGGTGTGGCGAGGTTCGGCCCTGGCATGGTTTTCGCTGTTCCTGCACAGCAAGGTGCACAGCTTTGTCGAACGTAGATGAAACCGCGTGAAATCGATGCCCATATCCGCAGGTCGCAGTCTCCGTTTCTGAGACCAGGTTTCTTCCATGACACATCGAAGAGACCTGATCTCGATCCTGATCTCATCCGCGTGACCAGGCGTAGTCAGAGTGACGGCACCACGACCACGCGTGGCCTCATGGTGAACGGGAGATGAGAAGCGTGTAACCCGATGGCGTTTTTAACGTTATCGGTGTTGCGAACAGCCGGTGCTGCCATCAAACAAGTGCTTCTAATCTGCCCTTCCCGGCATGATCTTCGGAGACGATCTCGACCGATCCAGCCCAGCAGCATTGCTTACCAGCTATTCGCGGACGATCCAGACACGATGTCCTTGTCCCGAAAAAGCCAAGCCATTCCTGCAGCGGCCGGAGTGGGGCTTAATCCCGGCCGCCCTGCCGGGCCGGCGGGAGGACACGGCAGATGTTAATCGTCATGATGCACCAGCCCGTGCCGTCTGCAGTCCAGTCACGGGCGAGTCTCCAGCTGGTGGCAGACGTTGGTGCGGTCTCCACGCTGCACCACCCCGTGCCGTCCGCAGTCCAGTCACGGGCGAGTCTCCAGCTGGTGGCAGACGTTGGTGCGGTCTTCACGCTGCACCAGCCCGTGCCGTCCGCGGTCCAGTCACGGGCGGATCTCCAGCTGGTGGCAGACGTTGGTGCGGTCTTCACGCTGCACCAGCCCGTGCCATCCGCAGTCCAGTCACGGGCGAGTCTCCAGCTGGTGGCAGACGTTGGTGCGGTCTTCACGCTGCACCAGCCCGTGCCGTCCGCAGTCCAGTCACGGGCGGATCTCCAGCTGGCGGCAGTCCACGCCGCGTGACGGCCAACCTTTGTCACCGAACCGCAATCATCTACCCCCTTATCCACCATTCAGCTCATATGCCCCGGACCTCCGGCCTCGGTGTCATAAAATCCGTTGCCTTGAGATGCGAAAAGCCTGCTGGCCGACTGAGTTCGGGCCGACCGAGACTGTCATCCCTGCATCGCGGACACGCTCTTCCTGCCACACGATATGTGATCAGATGCTGAGAAGTGCAGGAGTTGAAACCCGGTTCTAGCACTGACGGCTCCAAATTAACAGCATGATGCTCGCACAGTCAAGTGCTCATAATTATCTATACAGGGCATGAGGCATTGGTGCGTTTTTGCTGCGAATTCACAGATGTGGCACATTCGCACATCGAAGATGGGAAATTGTCTCAAAGTGCATCGATAAGAATGATTCCTGCCTGCTCACGGCAGACCACCAAGCTCAGGTTGTCTTTCTTACTCATGGCTTAGGACTTCAAGCAGGCTGTTAGGCAAATCATGTCAACATTTTGCTGTTGGAATGGGTGTTGCCTTTTGTGCACATGTAGGCAATCTTATTTGATAACAAAATTTCAGTGGTACGGCGCGGGTCCTGACTGGCTAAAGAGATATTTGAGTGGTCGGAGACAGGTGGTGCGTGGAGAGCAGACGACCCCACCGGTAACCCGCGGAGTTCCGCAGATATCCATAGTCGGTCCGCTCTTATTGTGGAGAGCAGACGACCCCACCGTGGAGATGTAGCGTGGAGAGCAGACGACCCCACCGGTAACCCACGGAGTTCCGCAGATATCCATAGTCGGTCCGCGCTTATTTTGGAGAGCAGACGACCCCACCGGTAACCCACGAAGTTCCGCAGATATCCATAGTCGGTCCGCTCTTATTGTGGAGAGCAGACGACCCCACCGTGGAGATGAAGCGTGGAGAGCAGACGACCCCACCGGTAACCCACGGAGTTCCGCAGATATCCATAGTCGGTCCGCTCTTATTCACCCTAGTCACAAACGGCCTTCTCAGTCACCTGTCACATGGACACGTCATCTCCAAGCATTCTCACTCTTCTTATCTCATCATCATCTCATCATCATTGGCACTCATCATCTCACTCATCTCTAAGCCTCGAAGCACTAAAACATCGTCTGAAAGCATCAATTTGGGAACTTCAGGCTTGGTTCTTTGCAACCTCACTAAAAGTGAACAGGGACAAAACCGACTTCGTTTTTATGTGTTCAGAACATGATTTAAAGAAAAACTGTGATTGATTTTTACTTTACGATAGATGGAGAGTCTACTTTGCCTTTACAGCGCATCAAATTTATCGGTGTGACCACCGACTCGACGCTTTCGAGGGAAGCGAATGTCAACAGAGTCGCACAAACTGCAACGGAACTCGAATAACCCTGAACCGAATCAGGCATTACTTTACACCTGATGTTCTCAAAATGATTATGGAATCCTACGTGTTTCAGATATATCTCATTGCTTATGCGTATGGGGTGGCGCGATCAAGTGCTA